GAAAAGAACTATCACTGTTGAGAGGAACTGATTCAACCCTTCAGAGCAGATGAAGACACCGTCACAAGCACCAAACCTCCCATCCCTTCCACACTCCTCGGCTGGAGCCAACTGTACCTCAACAACGCAGGGTGGAGTCATTTCAGGGCAAATCAGTCTATTCCCCAAGTAAAAGCAAGGGTGGCATTTAGCTGCATTAGAGCCTTCTGCACGGCATGCTGAAAATTTTTCCAAGGGTAACTTTGGGTGCATATACAGCTTACTTCAGTGGTCCCCAGCTTAAAAAACAAACAAAAACCAAGTGAAAGAAGATTCTATTACTCTTAGGAGGCCAGGGGCAGTACAGATTGTGTGTGTGTGTGTGTGTGTGTGTGTGTGTGTGTGTGTGTGTGTGTGTGTGTGTATGTGTATGTGTATGTGTGTGTGTGTACTTCAGTGCCGGGTCTCTAATAAGACTGTTTTTGGACTGAACTTCAGATCCCCAAAACCCTGCCACTCAAAAGTAGCCAAACAGCCCCAAGATTTGGGAACCTGGGGTAAAAAAAAGTCATTTCAAGTTTGCTCTCTTTTTTTCTCTCTGAAATGCCATGTTTCTTTTTATTTGCTCTGTATCACAGTGCGGAGAGGAAAGCTAACAAAAAATAAGAGCTGGAGTGAAAAGAGAATTTTTGCTATTTAGAAATAAGGCTAAGTCTGACCCACAATTTTCGCATTAATGACACCGGTCATTAGGAGAGACATAATTATTCATTTATGTTTTATGTTTTCTTTCCTAACTCACTGGTTAGGAAAGAAGAAAATGCTTAACGGATATCCAACTATGTCCTTCACTGATATCTTATTACACATCTTTTGAAAGGTGGCATTTAAAAAATGCTACTTTAATCTACTGAACATGGATTTCGGGCCCCTCCAGAATATGATATTGGAAAGCTTTATAAAGTTCAGAATATTAAGAAGTCATTACATTGTTTTACTTTTCTATAGAATGCCCATGAAAATTCAGCTGTTTTCAATGTATTGAGAGAAAAAAAAAAAATCTACGTTCTATCACATATATATTCCCACCACCCCCCTCCACCCCATCCTCAAGAAATATATTTCTTGTCAGGAAAAAATCCTTGGAGCGATGTAGGTGTCTGTGATGAAAGATCTGGTATGACTACATTTTCTTCCAGGGAATCCTTTAAATTGCCTCATTAAACTGCAGAGTTCTGTTGACCACTTAAAAGACCACTGTATTATTCTATATATACCAGATTAAAAACAGAATTTAACAGAATGTTAAAAGAAGGCTAAAAAGAAAAAGGATGAAGAAACTGGAAACGAGACACCTAAACAAAACTTAAAGGAATTTCTAACCCTATAAAACTTGAACTGGTTCGCCTGGTGGCGTTAACATCCTTGTCTTCTTGCGATACCATCCACAGCAATCTTTTGAACTAGCGGGAAGAAAAGGCAACGTGCCCCACACAAGCACTACAGACGAAGCTACCACCCGTCACCACCACTCCCACCATGCAGGGGCACAGGAAGGACTGCAGGCAGGTATCAGTGAACTCACAGGATGGGCGTGACCTACATAGGCTCAAATTCTAGTGCCCAATGATAAAAGCCCAATAGTAAAGGTCAACAGAAATATAAATTTCTTCATGTAAGAAGCAAATTGTACAGCTAGGGCATCTGCATGTATCACGGACACTGTTTCCTTCCAAATCAAAGAACTGTCTTTGCCTCTGTGGATTATGATCACTGACTGAGAACGAGCTCTGATAAGGAAAAGCTTTAGTGTTAGTCGCAGAAAAGTGATGATTCTTAACTTGCGGTTGAGAGGTTGGGCTTATTAAAGAAATAAATCTTATAAATAACTATTTGGCAAAGATAAAGTATTAGCTTTCGTTAGCCTTAAACCGCTCAAGACAATAACTACAATTTTAAGGAAAAGAAAAAAATTTTTTCCCAACTTTATCTCCATACCTACTATTTGCTTCTCATTAAATTATACTCTTTTCATGGAAGGACACTAGACACGCCGTACTGCCTGCCAACGTGAAATTGCTCAGGAAGTCATTTATGAAGCAGTTCTATCTCACATGGTGGGTTACTAGGGAAAATAATCCTTTGCCATATAAGCTATGCGACGATAATTAGAAAATTTTTCCATTGCATAGTCTGTCACTTGGTGGGTTAAATGTAATTGCTATTTACTATTGCGAATTGTTAACTAACTACATAACCTACCCAGATGTGCAAATTGCTAAGCCATTTGTACAGAAGAAAAACAATGTCTTAAGTACTTTAATTAAAATAATACTAACAATTATGCAGAGGGTGTAAAGGACAAAAACACATCTTTCCTTCGGATGCTACAGATCACAGCCAGTGAATATTATACATTAGAATGGAATTCAGATTCTCAGAGCACAGAATGTATCCATTAACTGCAGCAACTTTGTAAATTAAATCACATTAACACAATCTAACTGGCCTTTATAAATGGTCCCAAAGTACTGCAGAAACAGAGTGAACCTTCTTTGCCACTACTTCTCATGAGTTTAACACTAGAGTGAAAGCTAATATCCACCTAATTAGATAGAACCTTATATAAAATTTGTTTTTGATTCCAGTATTGCCTTATTATAGAATAAGTGCTATTTTAAAAGACACTGATTTTCATATTTCTGGAGTAAAAGACACTTCATTCCTTTCTTTACATATTAATAGCCAACCTACTACTAATAGACTAGAATTGCTCCATTAGCTAAAAGAACAACATAACAGATATCTCTGGGTTCACAGATGTTCTTCTCTCTTCCAAAAAGGGACTCACAAGAAACAGCAAGAACAAACAAATCGCAAGCTCGGATATTTGTTTTGAAGTAGACGAAACGAGAAGAAAAATTTGTTTTTTTGCTAACTCCTCAAACCTACACTGGTACTTTCTACGGGTGCCCTTTCTTCAGCTATCATCGTGGGCATCTACACAAAAATGAATTTACTCAAAGTTTTTGGTGTGAAGCTGTAACTGGCAACATTCCTGATCATTTCATGCCTCCTTAGCAGAAAGCAGAAAAGGGCTTAAAAATGCACAGAAAACAGAAAATTGCAAACAATAAAATGTGCAACTTACTGCAAACTCAGTTTTGATAACTGAAGAATTTTAAGCAGCTACCACAAGGGACAAATAGCCAGAAAAATTCAGATCAACGTCCCATGGACTTGCCCTTCACTGTCAAAGAAAGGCTGATGAGAAAGTCAATGTGTATGTACCACTTTTACCTCCGTAAAAAAGAAAGTCAATGGGCTGCTCTGCTACAACCTTTAATTAGTACACAATGGAGACGGAATCGAATCACTGGGAATGGACAGTTATCTCGTGATGATTATAACGGGATGTGAAGAGTTTAGCAAACTAAATGACACTTTTGAGCAGAGGTAACTACTCATAATCATTTCATTACAGTACATTAAAATAAAAAAGCTTACTAACATAGGTTCACAGGTGAAAAATATTCAGATGATCTCTTCTCACCCTTCAGAATAGAAATTTACGGTGCTACCAAATATAATTTTGCTTTGTGACATAATTTTATAATTTAGACATTTCTCAATCTGCAGAAAAGGCAAAGCTATTAAAAAATAAATCTTCCAATCAATTATCATGATTAAAAAAAAAAAACTAAATATATTACAAACATATTTTTGGCCCACAAAAAGAAACTTCAATAAATACAAAATAGGGCATATAATGATTTCATACAGTCATGTGACATTTCCCCTCCATAATCTCAGGCACGTTTTATCTGCATAATGCCTGCTGATTACCATCATTCCTTTAAAAAGCAGAGAAAGGAAAGCTTTCAAAAGAAGGGACTGGTTAGAATTAGCACGGCATAAAGAGCACACATATAGGAAGTAGGAAAATACATCCAAATCTTTACCTATTGAAAAGGAATTAAGATCAAATATTCCCTGACAAATGAATTATTATATCCCATCATTAATAGATATGTTCTCTCTACTCATCTTAAAATATATATATGTAAATTAGACTAGACTCAGGTATAAATAGCCAATGGTATCTCAAGGGACAGTGAAACCTCTCAGCAAAAGCAGAGTACAGATGCCTTTAAAATCTAGTTCCACCCTTGGGCGGGGGGATCGGGGGTCGGGGAGAAGGCAGGTAAAAAGAAACCTCACATATTCATTTCATAGTCACCAACTTACTAAACTATCCAATGGGATTTTTAACCCTAAAGTTCTGGTACTTAAAAAAAAAAAATTTTTCCCCAAACTTAAACCTAAATACTTAAATTATTTTAAAAGTACCAAAGGGTGGGTAAAATTTGTCTAATTTCCATATTCCGCTTTGAAAGAAACTTTAAAATGTGTATCCTTCAGATATTACACATCACTTCACAACTGGTACATTGATTCTACAAGTGTCTTCAACATTTTACAAATCTTACCAAAGAATCACTACTGTAAACATGAAAAATTCAAAAGCAAAAGATGGATCAAGGAGTTCACAGATCCCATCTTTCCAAACCTATCTGACCTATCCTGCTTTTCACATCAAAATATTTTAATTACATCTTGCGAATATACTCCATGGAAGAGGGATTTAGAAACAAATGCATGTCTAAAAAAGGCAATATAACCAACCACCAGACCTCAGAATCGCAGCAACCCTGCAGTCCCTCCAGGCAAGCTTTTCACGACATCTGCAGGGCACTGACATGAATTCAGCTTTTTGTGTTCTGGGCTAACTTAGCAGAAAAGGGTTGTGCTATTCACGCCACCAGACCACCACCCTTCTCCATTCAGGAAAGTCAGTTAACTCAGTGGGAAAGAATGACCAACCTTATCAGGGCTGTGAGATGTGGGAAAGGAGAAGAGCCTTCTACTCATTAGGAAAGAAAAAAAAAAATAACAATGGGACAGCTGCTTCCTGCCCTGCACAAAAACACACGCGTGGGTGCACACATACACACAGGCAGTTAAAAGACTAATTTTTTTCTTTTTAATTAAACATGATCACAATTAGGAATGGAATCCTGGCCTCATGTGATGTTTAGCAGTCGGTGCTAAGTCAGAGCCTTGATCTGCCTCTACACACCATTTGCCGTCTCTTACACAGGAACTCAATGAATAGGCTCATTCCATTTAGAACCACCTATGTAAAGACCTGGTATTAGAATGGAAAGCATTGATCTGAATACTAGGAAATAGTAAAGGGCACTGGTAATCTGAGGTATCTTTCACTTCTAGGACTTGCTGCTAAAAGTCGATTCTATCCAGTCACTGTGCTGAGCCACTAAGGAAACCACTGGGGGAGAGTGGACCTGCCAGGAGGGAATGAGCACCAGTGCGAAGGGGCACATGTGAACACTGAAGCGAGGTCCACTGTGGGGTAACCTGCTTGACTGGAAAAGGGAGTTCTCCTCTAGTCCCCATCTGTTATTTTTAAAATCTTCTTTAGGAAAAGGGGAGAGAGGTGATAAAGAGGAAAACAAGATAGAAAACACCAGGTTCCCCACCTGCCTGCAAGCACACAGATACGCTCAGTTAGGGGAGGTAAAGGGAGAAGACGCATTATTGGTACTTGTAGCTGTGGCACCTGTCACTGTGAAGCCTGTGGGAGGCGCTATTGAGCTGTGGCTGGGCTGCAGGTCCTTGGGGATGCCACTGTGAGAACTCAGCTGGTGGCCGAAGGCTGCGCTGAACTGAGGGAGTTGCTGCTTGGGAGAGGTGGAGGCCAGCAGTTCAGCAGAAGGCCCCATGCCACTGAAGCTGGTCTGCGGTAACCCCGGAAGCACACTGGAGCTGCTGGGGGTCACGGTGGCGAAGGCAGGCTGTGTGGTCTCTGAGTTCGAAGTGGTGGGTGGTGTGGACAGGGAAGTGGAAAGAAGATGTCCATCTGCGCCGAGAAGGTTGCTAAATGGAGAGGGATCTCCGAGGCTGACAGGGAGATTGCCCCAGTGAGTTCTGGGGTTTACGACTCCTCCAAGTGGCACCTCAAGTTGGGCTGGGAGCAAGTGCTGCGCCATGATGGGCATCTCTGCTGAAAAGGTAGCTGCCATATTATCACCAGAGTAAGATGTTGTGTGGGGAGAGGTGATATGGTCGCTGTAGGGAGACGGCACGTGCTCACTATCATAATGGCTTCCGTGGGGCGAGGAGTGTGAATGATCACTGCTGTATTGCTGTCGTGAGGTGATTAGGTCATCTGCCTTGCTCAGCAGCTGGGCAGGATGTGGCCTCTGCGAGGCATGGCTGCCATCATGAAGTCCATGAAACTGTCCTGGGAAGGCTCTCTCCCCAAGTGCACTCTGGCTGATCAGAGTGGCAGAAGTAAGGCCAACGTTGGCTGGGGCAGAGAACTGCCCCTGGATCTGCCCTGCCAGGGGTGTAGGTGGGTTAGACAAGGTAGCAGAACGGAGCAGGCTCTCATCCAGCTCTAGACTAGAAAAGTTGTCGTGTACTATACGCCCATTCAGCAGCTCCCCCAGGTCCGTGTTTACCTCTCGGCTCAAGGACTGAATTCCTGAAGCTCCAGTCCCTGTGGAGAACACCCCTATTCCTCTGTCTGACAACTCCTGGACGGGCACACCATCTGACTGGGTGAGCACCCCAATGGTACTCAGGCACTCAAGAGACGTCACGGCCTGCAAGGCCCGCTCAAGCTCCTCGGCTTCTTCGGTGGTGGGGAGGAGGTCCCCGTTCTTGCCTGAGTAAACGAGAGCCATCAACAGTCAGCAGAGCTTTCACCGCCCCAGACCACAAAAATCATACAGCGGAATTATGTGTAACAATATTCTATTAAGGATCGGATGCAAAGGAAAAAAGTGAAATATTCAGCTGCAGGACAGGTGTGAGGGGTCAAGCTGTCCCGGAACCTGAATCACATCTTCAGTTCATTTACAGCACTATCAAAATCCGTCTGAGCGAAGTGTTCAGTGCTTAGGAGTCTAAGCATTACCAATTTAAAACACGTGGTGACTATCTGATTTCACGTATGTTTTTACCCGAAGCTATATTAACGTCATTAAAACGGAAAACATGTCAAAACAGTTCAGATCTGAGACAAAAGGCTGTGTGGGAGGAGCCGCCTTTGTTCCTCTACTCTTGGGCTCTTCCAGCTGGAAGGGCAGCTGTGAAGCCTACGATACAGAACTCACGTGCATATCTCACCGCAACACCAAGCACTCAGCTCACTTCATAGGTTACCTTTTGAAATGCTTTTGCGTTACTCTCTACTCTTCCCCTCTCATCCTTCTCCCATTTCTAAGTGATTTTCACAAAATGGAAGTCACAGGCCTCACTGATTTCATTTCCAATATAAAAAACCCATTGTTAGGAACTTGACTAATCACCCCCAAAATATCCAGTTTTTAATGGTGAAAGAAACCTTCTAAGAGTAGAAAAGATTTCCCCTGAAAGCACTAGAGAATTGGCAGTATTAAGTCAACTTTGTTCTGGAAAAGTGCACTTCAATTGAAGTACATGGTGGGGTATTAAAATGAGGACAAGTTCTGAAAGGTTTCAATAAACTCAAATTTAAAATGTCTTTGTTCAAAAATAAACGAAGGGTGTATATGTATAACTGGTTCACTTTGTTATAAAGCAGAAACTAACACACCATTGTGAAGCAATTATACTCCAATAAAGATGTAAAAAAAAAAAAATAAAATAAATAAAATAAAATAAATGAAGGTAGGTGCCTTCCCTGGTGGTCCAGTGGTTAGGACTTAGGGCTTTCACTGCCACGGGCCCACATTCAATCCCTGGTCAGGGAACTAAGATCCCGCGTGCTGCGTGGTGAGGCCAAAGATAATAAATAAGTAAAGGAACAAAGTTATAAACCTAGCTCTCAAACCTACTGATCCACTAAGGCTAGGATATCAGTCTAAAAACTGTACATGCCTCACCTTCTAAAAAGAGTAAAACAGTTTTAGTGCTTTACCTTTCCTGTCTCTGGTGAAAGATGTTACACGTGAGGAGGGATACTCCAAACATATCTCAAAAAACCTACCTCCCCCTTTAAAAAACTCATTTTAAAAAAGTTTCCTCCAATCAAAACATTGACCATACCTTCAAAAAAATCAAAATCTTGTAAGTCATCAGGTAGCCGCGGCAGGACGTCTGAAAAGTCCTCCTGGTTCAATTCCAAGTCATGTGGAATGTCAGTGATCTCATTGGCAATGTCATCCGGCAGCTCATCAGCACTCAGCTCTGGCGTGGACGGGCTCCTGGGGAAGACGACACGATTGGCCCCGCCCCCCCCACTTGACCTCCACATCAGTGTCCCCAAGACAAGTCTGTCGATGCAAAAACGGAAAATCCTAACTCAAAATGTCTCCCTTCCTACTCTAAGAGAAGGAAATCGGAAACCAAAATGAAAGACCTCACTGTATGCAGTTACACACTTCTGCAACGCTTACCCATGTATTAAGAGAAGACAACCATTTGGAGATACTATTTTTACTGCAAATTAGAATGAATGACAATTTGGTGCACTAGTAAAATGAATTACAATTTGGTATATCAAGTGTGTCTTAGTACTTTATAGTAGAATTTAAAATCTGGTCAAAATAATAATTAAAAAAAAAAAAAAAAAGAAACAGGGCTTCCCTGGTGGCGTGCTGGTTAAGAACCCGCCTGTGCCAATGCAGGTAACACGCGTTCGAGCCCTGGTCTGGGAAGATGCCACATGCCGCGGGGCAACTAACCCTGGGCGCCACAGCTACTGAGCCTGCGCTCTAGAGCCCGTGCTTTGCGACAAGAGACGCCACCGCAATGAGAAGCCCACGCACCGTGACAAAGAGTAGCCCCCGCTCGCCGCAACTAGAGAAAGCCCGCGTGCAGCAACGAAGACCCAACGCAGCCAAAATAAATAAATAAATGATGAATGAATGGATGAATGAATGAATAAATAAATTTTAAAAAATGAAACAGATAAAACTGGGATGTTTAGCTGAAACAGAAGCCTCATTCATCTGGTCAAAATGCTTATTACCCCTGACAAAATTAATAATGCAACAGATTTCTGATGGAATATTTCTGTTGGAACATATATGGAATTTCTGTTGAAACAGAAAAATCTGAGAGTAGTCAATTAAATTCCCAATATCAGCATTTGCTCTCTTGGTTATCAAAAGCTTTACTTCAGATCTAACCCCATCAGATATTTTGTAAAACATCATATTGAAAACTACAAATCTAGGCTTATATACCAAATGGTTCCTTTAGCCTACTTCCAACACTAGAAAAGTAAATGAAGCCAGATGTTCTGAGAACAATCAGAACACGTAAAGCAGACGTAAACTCTGGCGCCATCACTGACCGGATGTGAGAGGCCTCCACTGGCAGTGAGACGCTGGTGGGCATGCTGAGGTTCCCCTGAGGAACTGCAGGGGGAATGGGCTTTTGGGGTCGACGAGGTCCACGCCTTCTCTTCTTCTTGTGTTTTTTGGTAAGTGCAGGAGGCTTGGTTTTTTTCCTGGGTTTCCTCTGCTGCTGGTGCTGAACTTTACGGGAGCTATCTCCTCTCAAGAAATTATCCTTTGGAATGAATAAATGGGTATTTTTAAACTGAGATTATTTGGGAAAAACCAAACAGCTATCTGAAAAAAATACTTATATCTCTTAAAATTCTATATAGTGCCTAAAACTATGTATAACGATAATTAAATGAATAAGAAATTCATTTTAAAATTTAATTCAAATCAATTCAATATATACATATAGCTCATCCCACATTTACAGGCATTGTCATAGGTGCTGTAGTATAAAAAATTGAATAAAATTTGATTTGTGCTCTCAAAGAACTTAGTCTCCCATGGGAGAAACATGACTACAAGGATACATAAATACAGTAGAAAAAATTGGGCAATAATGATATAAACACCTTCTAAGGGTACACAAAAGGAAAATCCTTTATTTGTAGTTAATGTGAGATTAAAGGATAAACAGGATTTTAAGTTGTTGGGATAATGGGGAAGATCATTCTAGGCTAAAGGAAATGGCACAAACAGACAAAAAGGACAGCAAATAATTGGGTATGACTATTGCTCGGGGTATAATGGAGGACAAAATATAAAAGTAACCTGTAAAGAAGTCTGGAACCAGATCCTGTATGACTTTGAATACTCTGTTAAGGATTTTAAACTTTATTTTATAGGCAATGGGGAATGAGTTTTGATGACAGGAGTACATGTTTTAAAAGGATTAACTATCCTGCTAGCAACGTAAAGGGATAAAGAGAAGAGGCAAGTGAGTGGAGGAAGAAGTTCCAATCAGAGGGCTATTTCAACAAGTATTACAAGACTGATAAATAGCTGAGGGCAAAGTGAGCAGGAATGGAAGAGCGACGGCCTGTTGAGAGAGAATTCTCAAGATGTGACAGATCCTTGGACGTGGTGAGGATGCGGGGAATATAAAATTCTCAAATGTGTCCAGGGTTTCTAGCTGAGGTGATTGTTAGGGGATAATGCCATTAGTTGGGATACAGAACACAGCAGAATAAACAGAATCAGGAAAAAAGTTAAGGAATTCAGCTGGGCTCAGATAGAGTTTGAGACGTGAAGACGTCCAGGGAGGCAGGAGGAAACCGTATCTGGTGCACAGGAAGGAAGACAGGGAGACCTGGAAATCGTGACAGTAAAAGTCCTTCAAATAATTTATAGGGACCAGGGAGACATGGTAAAGAGAGAAGACAATGGGCACACAGCTTTATAAAACTGTTGCAATTAAGTGAGGAGGCAAAGGAAGAAGAACCAGGAAGGAATAGAAACCTGCACTACAACTAGCTTTCTTCAGCTAAGTACCCTTAAATCTGAAGACCCAGATGCACATTTTACTCTCTCTACAATCGGAAAGCATTTTACAATGACGGCATATTATTCCTGCCGTCAGCCAGGTGATGGTCATTATAGTTGGTGCTGCCTACATGTTCAAAGTTGGTCATAGCTCTTTGTACTGTCATTGTTTGAGTGAAGGTATATGCATTGCTGGTTTTACATGCAGAGGAAAAACTGCTGTGTATGCAGAAAGGCACAAAAAGTGGCAGTGTGTAAAACTGTTACTGGTGAAGCAAATATTCATTATTGAAGAACTGTCCACAATACCCCCCACCCACCTTTTTATTGCAAAGCCACAACCAAAGGAAAAAGGAAAATAATCCACAAAGTGGACAAAGCTGTGTTATAGTAGATGTATGTAGAAAATACTGCCTGTCACACACCAAGAATTAGCTGAAACCAGGAGTGCTATAGAAGATAAAAATATCTATGTCTATCTATCTAAGACTAAAAAAGCTATTTTGGTAAGTATAAAATAAAAATTTTAAGTGATAAGAAATGCACTGTGCAACATTTTTTCCTTCTTGGTGTTATATAAAACAATCGTGGTTTTTACGATTGATGTCACCTTTGAGTTGACGAACTCAGTAATAACTCTTATAATCAAATACATAAAAAGACCTGAAGACTAATAATTATCACTAACATCAAACAAATTCAAAGCAAGAATAAAATTAAGCATAAATTCAGGAAATCTAGGAGATGTTTAATCCCAGACAAATACTTGAATCCAAACACAATTACAGACTCAAAATTCACAAATTTAGAAAACAACAAAAAAGAGGCTGCTTCCCAGCCTCTGTAATTCCTTTTGGTTCAACACGTGACGTCTACTTTTTTTATGCCCACTATGTAACTGAATAAATAGTGAATAAGCAGCTACCAGTACCCACCAGGTGCTGGCATCCATTCCAGGATTTCCCTCTAGGACCAGTGTGAATCTTGAGCAGGAGGGAGGAAGAGAGCTCTAGCCAAGAATATACTAATCCTACCGGCTCTGCTTCTAGGCTTCTGTCTTACTCTCAGGCTTATGCTGTGTAGCCACGCAACGTGTTTGGTAAGGTGCCAGCTCCTCCACACGGAAGTGCCCATGACTGAGACCCTGCCTGGCCCTTGGTGTTCCCTTACTTAGCTCCTCCAAAGAACACCTGTGTCCTAGAGGCTTTCCTAAAGCCAACTGTTCATTTACCTACACTACTTACAAACACTGTTCACTCCTAGCATTCTCACTGTCCCATGCTACTTCTATGCAGGACAACGCATTTAGTAACTTACCATCTGTTGTATGGTCTCATACCTGTTGAATACCATGTTCTGTCTGCCAGCCTGGACCTCGGGCAGCTCTAGCCTCTTCTACCAATGGCTGTCCTATCAAGTGGCTGAGTCTAGTTCAGAATCTCACCCCTATCCCCCACAGGCCATGTGCCTAACCGATAATTTATTCAACCATTACTTATGGAGCATCTTTGTTCCAAGCACTGGGGATACAGTAGCATTGAACAAAAAATGTTCCTGCCTTTGTGAAGTTTACATTCTAGTAGGGGGATTCAGACAATAAACAAACAAATTAATACATAATGTTAGGCAAATATATAAATGTTAGGAAGAAAAATAAGGTAGAGTACAAGGATAAAAAGTAGCAGGGTAGAGGGGAGGCAGAAATGAACTGACACTTGATCAGAAACCTGAATGAAATGAAGGAGTGAGACATGGAGAATCTGGGGAAAGAACACTCCAGGAAAAGAGAGAAACAAGCAGAAAGTCCCTGAGGTGGGAGCATACTTAGAGTGTTTAAGAAAGAGCAAGAAGGCCAATGTTGCTGGAGCTGTGGAAGTGAGGAGAGGGTATAAGATGAAGCTGGAGCGGTTGCCAGGGCCAGATCAGGAAGTGCCTCATAGGCATGGTAAGAATTTCAGATTGGATTCTAGATGCGATGGGAAGCCACTGGAAAGTTTTGATCAGGGAACTAAAATGATCAGATGTATATTCTAAAAGGCCTGCTCTAAAGGCTACATACTGAATGATTCCATTTAGAAGACATTCTGGAAAATGTAAAATTATACAGACAGAAACAGATCAGTGGGGATAGAAAAGGGCTGACTACAAAGGGCAACACTAGAGACTTTTGGGGGGTGATGGAATGATTCTGTATCTTGATTATGTATCTGTATGCATGTCAAAATTCATAGTACTGTACACTAAAAAGAGTGAACTTTACTATATGTAAATTCAAAGACAGTGGGACCCACATGCATAGTCTACCCTGGCTGATATGTGAGCAACACATCCGGGCACAGGGGGCGTGGCAGGAACAAGGGAGACTAATTAGGAGGCTATTACAATAATGCAAGCAAAGATGATGGTAGCCAAGGCTAAAATGGTAGCAGCAAAGTTGGTAAAATGTGTGTGAATTCAAGATATAGTCTGAAAGTAGAGCCATGAGATTTGCACAGTTTCTATCACCCAGTGTTAGTCTCTCACTGGGGGACGGATGGAATACAAGTGTTTGCTCTACTCTTATGTAATTTTAAACTTAAAAATAGCTCAAACTAGGGCTTCCCTGGTGGCGCAGTGGTTGGGAGTCCGCCTGCCGATGCAGGGGACACAGGTTCGTGTCCCGGTCAGGGAAGATCCCACATGCAGCGGAGTGGCTAGGCCCGTGAGCCATGGCCGCTGAGCCTGCGCGCCCGGAGCCTGCGCATCCGGAGCCTGTGCTCCACAACGGGAGAGGCCACAACAGTGAGAGACCCGTGTACCGCAAAAACAACAACAACAAAAAACATATGGAAGTCATTCTTTAACCGTGATAACATCTCAATAAGCTAACAAAAATGTCTATATTTTAAATGTTTTAAAATTAAAATGGGAAAGTAATTATTCAATATTTGTATACATAGTTTAGTATACAACTTTTCAAAATATATGGTCCATAAAGGAAATCTAGAAAACAAAACAGGTTCCTAGAGAAGAAGCCGGTAAACTTCATACACGGCTACTGAGGTCTAGAAAGGATGACTCATTAGTCCATGTTATACATATAGCTAGTGGCAAAGCCAGGACCACAGTGTTACACTGCTAAGTCCTGTCCAATGGCCACTTGGTTACCCTGATGCATCCCTGCAAACTAAGATATGCTCATAGCAGGTAAGAGTTGTCTTATTCAATTTTTTAATACATAGGTACCTAGCACAATACCTTGCAAATAGCAGAACAACTCAGTAAGTGTCTGATGGGTGAAATGCATTTATTTTAAGTGATTATATAATTCAGGTAGTTCACTAATTCAGACTTTTCTCTCCAAATTATTCTGAATTAATTAGGGCTTACGCTACCAGCATTAACTAAAGCAATAATTAAGTCCAATGGAATTATAATGGTTGGCTTCTGGCTGAAATTTCATCAAATTTCCAAGACATTCGCAGAATTATATATAAGAAAAGCAAAATCCTAGAGAAATGGAGAAAAGAAAGATCTTGGGAAATCTGCCTATGTATAAAAAAATGTATCTTGAGGAGAAGAGAAGTATAGACTAGCTATAGATAATAAACAAAATGACCACATCTAACTAACTACTAAATACTTTCTAGAACAGTGTTTTCTTTCAGTGAGGGTATAATATTAATTCAATCAGTTATGACCAGCATTTCTTTTTCTTTTTTTTAGTGAAATAGAAGAGACTACAAAATAAGAGGTACTAAAAGAGTATTGTTTCACAAAACTCGTTTCAGTGATTTACATACACATATAGTTTGTACTAAGTCATAAAATATTTCCTACTCTGGACAGCTATCAAAACTTTGAAAGCCTCAAGCTATTATATATAGGATGGATAAACAAGTTCCTACTGTACAGCACAGGGAACTGCATTCAATATCCTGTGAAAGCCATAATGAAAAAGAATATGAAAAAGAGTGTGTATATACATATATGTATAACCGAGTCACTTTGCTGTACAGAAGAAATTAACACAACATAGTAAATCAACTATACTTCAATACAATTTAAAATATATATATATAAACTTTGAAATCCTCTGTTGCAGAAAATAAAATTTGAACTTACCATTTTTTTGGCATGTTCTTCACACAGAGGTGTCTGGTGTGTAATGTCAAAAACGGGCACAGAGCACTGCTGTCCATCTGCAAACTTGGCCGTGCAACTTGAGAAGAGTTGCTGAGAGCGGTTCAAGAGGATATCTGGGTTTTTTTTAAGTTAGGAATAAAATACACTGAAACCATTTAATTTTTCGAGTTCTACATAAAATTTGTTTCTTCCGTAACTTGTGCTTAGTAAGTATAAATTTTATAATCTATAAAAGCTAAAGAACCAACCCAACTACTAATAATAGAAAAATGATAATAGTTGAGCTTATCATCTTTATTTCTCAGAATATACTTCTGAAGGAGTCTATTTTGCTAATGAGCTTCTAACATGAGTCTCCCATTGTGATTTATGGCCATTGTGATTTGTTATTTAGAGAAGCAGGGTCATTTCCTTCCTAACACACTGACTCCTAAAAGTTCCACTATGATAAAAAACAAACAAAAAACTTTCTTTTAAGGAAAACTTTTGCCTAAGATACTCATCAAGAATAAATATTTAAAGATATAATTACAAAAAACTTGACTATCCAAATTTGAATTTTTCATTTCACACTTCTAACACCAAACTCAAACTTATAGCTTATGAAAAATTACTTTTAAATCAAAACTGTACTGTTAAAATTGGAACATCAGCTTTTTATCATCATCATTTTTAAGCATCTATACTTTTAGCCAGCCACTAACTACATTTCCATAGATTTACTTTTTATCTATTAAGGAAATGCCTTTCATTTTTCCTTTATGCTTTTACAGTTAAGGCGATTTATAAAGCCTTTACTGCATAGAAACTACTGCTGAAAAAGCTGTGAAAATACAACACCAAGAACAGAAAGGAAAGCAAAAATCAGATAGATAGCAAAGAAAAGTAATTGCAACTATATAAATTTTTAAAATGCTACTCAACTTCAAATGTTTAATAAAAGTGAAAGTAATAAGATTTCATAACCAGTCTGAAGCTCCTTAACATAGGTTTTCCTCAAGTATATCCTGTCTTAAGATATATTCTTTCCTAGTCAGTGATGTTTGTTATCGTTCATCTCAAATCAGCACCATATTCTATAAAAATAGCAAATTAATCCCATACCATAAAGTGTACTGTAAAACTGCATAACTTTCTTGGAAGACTAAAAACAGTTTTTTAATAACGGGATTTGACTTTCCCATCAATGAGTGTCATGGTTGCCTCATACAAACTACCTAGAACCACTGGAAGGACCAGAATCCTATTAACAAAATTTATTTAAGTGACAGCCACTGGAAAAACCTACTACTTGCTGTCAACTTTGCTCATTTTGATATGATTCTTGAATACAGAGTCACAATGATATAAGCAGAAAAAAACTATTCAGAGGACACCAAGAAAATCAGAAATAATATAAAAATTATTTTCAATTATTACAGTTATGATTTCAAAAGCCATTCATCACTTGGCCTGAGAATGAAATATATCACCCCAATGAATTAGTACTTTTCAACGCACACTTGATTTAGTTAAGAGGATACGTTGGAAACAATGTCTGGTGAATGGAAGGGCTTTGTTGGTGCACTGTTCACCCTTCACGGTCCCACTGCATGCTGCTGGCTCCACCTCCTTCAACTTGGTCCGGCTTATGCTAAGGAACAAAAGCCACAAAACTGATTTTTAAAAATGGTTTAAGAATCCAGGGCAATTATTTAAACAATGTTACTACTCTGTAACACCCACATTTTTAACTACATTCATTATTTAAATGCAAATATGGGGGCTTCCCTGGTGGCGCAGTGGTTAAGAATCCGCCTGCCAATGCAGGGGACACGGGTTCGAGCCCTGGACTGGGAAGATCCCACGTGCCGCAGAGCAACTAAGCCTGTGCACCACAAATACTGAGCCTGTGAGCCACACTACTGAGCCCCTGTGCCACAACTACTGAAGCCCGTGCGCCTAGAGCCCATGCTCCACAACAAGAGAAGCCACCGCAGTGAGAAGCCCACGCACCGCAACAAAGAGTAGCCCCCACTTGACACAACTAGAGAAAGCCCACACGCAGCAACGAAGACCCAACACAGCCATAAATAAATAAACAAATTTATTTTTAAAAAATGCAAATATGAATTACAATGACCAGTTCCAATACTTTTCCAACCTACTGACAAAACAAATATTATGTTATAATTGGTCTCAGCTATGTCTATCTGTTTTTGTTTTTTTGCTTTTTTAAGTGATATTTTGGTTCCTTTTACTTTACAAAGAGGCAGTAGAGAATAGTGATGAAGACCATAGACTAGATCAGACAGACCTGGTTCTGAATCTCCGCTCTGCCTCTTATTAGCTCTGTGACCTTGGGCAAGTTACTTAGCCTTGCTTAAGCCTCAATTTCCTCACCTGTAAAGTGGAGATAAGAGTACTTCTAGTCGACAGGCAAGCACCAAAAGACACAACACGCCTAAAACACTTACCACATACAGTATATAGTATGGTAAATAGATAGTAAAGAGTCAATGGTTGTTAGCCACCACTATCATCATCATTTTTTTTCAGTTTATTTTTTTAAACATCTTTATTGGAGTATAGTTGCTTTATAATGGTGTGTTAGTTTCTGCTGTATAACAAAGTGAATCAGCTATATGTACATATATCTCCATATCCCCTCCCTCTTGCGTCTCCCTCCAACCCTCCCATTCCCACCCCTCTAGGTGGTCACAAAGCACTGAGCTGATCTCCCTGTGCTATGCACCTGCTTTCCACTAGCCATCTATTTTACATTTGGTAGTGTATATATGTCAATGCTATTCTCTCACTTCATCCCAGTTTACCCTTCCCCCTCCCTGTGTCCTCAAGTCCATTCTTTACGTCTGCATCTTTATTCCTGTCCTGCCTCGTCAAGCTGCTAAACAATACAGCTGCAGAAAACTTAACCTAATACATGAGGAATGGGATACAGAACAGAAAGCTACGCAGTGAAGAATCTCCTTTCCACCCTCGTCTTGATTTGCTAGTTCCCACTCGCTCTATAATAAGTATTCTTTTTTTAAAGGAACTCCTTTATTTATTTATTTATTTATTTTTGTCTGTGTTCGGTCTTCGTTTCTGTGCGAGGGCTTTCTCTAGTTGCGGCGAGCAGGGGCCACTCTTCATCACGGTGCACGCGCCTCTCACTATCACGGCCACTCTTGTTGTGGAGCACAGGCTCCAGACGCGCAGGCTCAGTAATTGTGGCTCACGTGCCTAGTTGCTCCGCGGCATGTGGGATCCTCCCAGACCAGGGCTCGAACCCATGTCCCCTGCATTGGCAGCAGATTCTCAACCACTGCGCCACCAGGGAAGCCCAGTATTCATTTTATTAGTTTGTGATCCTTCCATAGATTTATACAAACATAAAAAAATTTAAAAATAAACTATATTTAAATTCTTGAAAGTATCAGTATAAAAACTATGCTATCTATGTAATTCTATAAAGCGTCACAAACTATTAGGCCTTTACACATGCCTGAGCATGGAAAAAGAAGCTACTTAATGCACTGAGTCACAAGTTAGGCATCAAAAATAAAGAAATATTTTGAATTGTTTGTTTCTAATATCTTTCTAAGGATTTAAGTGGAATGATTTACACTAATTAGAGAAGGTCATATAGAATAAGTTACATATGAACTTATTACATAAAATCTAAATAAAAGAATATTTTCATTATAATTGTAACTTTCATATAAACAGTAAATGCAAATAGATGCTGCCGGGTGCTGCCATAGAAGTTGCTTCAATTAAGAATTCTGCAAGGGCTTCCCTGGTGGCGCAGTGGTTGAGAGTCCGCCTGCCCATGCAGAGGACGCGGGTTCGTGCCCCGGTCCAGGAAGATCCCACATGCCGTGGAGCGGCTGGGCCCGTGAGCCATGGCCGCTGAGCCTGCGCGTCCGGAGCCTGTGCTCCGCAATGGGAGAGACAACAGCAGAAAGACCCCAAAAACCAAAAAAAAAAAAAAAAAAAAAAAAAAAAAGAGTTCTGCAAGATTTGTCAGATCACAGGAGTGAGGAACTAGGTCATTAAGGCCTGTAAAAAGAATACACACTTTTAAAAAAAGGAAGCTTTACTAATTTGGCAGCTAAGCCTAATTTCTCTTGGTCTAGATTTAAATAGAAGGTACCTCTCTATTTTGAATGGATAATTTTCATTGAACAGTTTAATAATTTGCTCAGCCAGCTACCAGGCCTAGTGTTATAACACGACCCTCACTTTCTTTACCCTAAACTTCAAAGTAAACCATTGGTTTTTTTAAAATCACCATTATGTTCCAACTCACCAATCTTTCTCTTAAAATAAACCCAAAGTCAGAATTTCAATATCCCCATGGATAATTAAGGTAAAAATGCCTGCTGTGATGTTAGATATATTTTATTATCCAAATAATCCCAACAAAACAAAGGTTTTGATGTTGTTAATATGAAAATATCTACGACGGGCTTCCCATTTGTATGCTCTACTGGATACCCCATTAAAAAGGAAGTTTTCACACAACCAACACTATCTCTCTGCAGGATTGTGGGTTACAAGATACTGAGATTTGGGTTTATATACTTTAAGCTATTTCAATGACTTGTTCCACATATTCACCAATAAATATAACAAAGTTATTATATAAAGAACATTTTAATGTTGTTCAGTTTATATCTAAACTATACTTAAAGAATACCTATTAGAAAGTAGTCACTATAGTTTTAATTTCTAAAATATTTAGTGACTTCCCTGGTGGCACAGTGGTTAAGAATCTGCCTGCCAATGCAGGGGACTTGGGTCCGATCCCTGGTCTGGGAAGATCCCACATGCTGCAGAAGAACTAAGCCTGTGCGCCACAACTACTGAGCCTGCGCTCTAGAGCCCACAGCCACAACTACTGAGCCGGCATGCTGCAACTACTGAAGCCTGCATGCCTAGAGCCCGTGCTCCGCAACGAGAGAAGCCACAGCAATAAGAAGCCCACACACCACAACGAAGAGTAGCCCCCGCTCCCTGCAACTAGAGAAAGCCCGCGCACAGCAACATAGCCAAAAAATCAATAAATTTATAAATAAATAAATTAAAAAAATATTTAACAGCGGGACTTCCTTGGCAGTCCAGTGGTTAAGACTCCGCGTTTCCACTGCAGAGGGCGCGGGTTCGATCCCAGGGAACTAAGATCCTGCATGCCGTGCAGCACAGCCAAAAAATTTTTAAAGAAATAAAATTTTAAAAATTTTAAAATAAAATAAAATATTTAACAGCAACCTTTTAAATGTCTTTTGTGGAACTAGGTCTTTGAGAACAAAAAATATTAAACACAGAGGACATTATTCAACTGAAAGCTGATTTCTGCAAACCTAAAATATATGTAATGTAAAGCAGTTAGTTACTAATCACCAAGGAATGATTATGGCACACTGTCATATGATTATCAGTGATGCACTGAGCAATAAACTTTTTACTAATCATGGGAGACATAACCAAATGACATCACATAAATCTGAGAACTATAATCAAGTTCATCTTGGTGTTTGTTTTGTAATACTTAGTTATCATGAAATTTTCTTAAAAACATCACTAAGGGTGGTTTGGGAGATGTTCTGAAAAGGAAGCAGTCGATTCTGCCAGTTAAAAATCATAGGCAAATACAGTTTCCACACAAACAGCGAATTGTCCCAAGCTCACAGTATAGTCTCTTTCATCTCTGACAGGGTCATTATAATATACGAGACCCGATATATACAATGGTCTACATCTAGATTGTTTTATGTTGGACAAAACTCAAATTTCTACTGAAATTATACTCTTGAAAGCATTATATAATATAAATGTTAGATACCATTATTTTAAAACCTATGTCAAACTGAGTGAGTTCTTTCGATAAACAGAGAATAGACCTTCACTTGTTCAATTCTATTCATTCATTCATCAACACTGGAGATTAAAAACAAAATATACATTGTTCCTGCCCTCACAGAAACCACTGTCTAGCATGACAGACAGACATTAATGTAAGTATAAATTCTACAGTGAGGCAGAGTACAGAGCACAACAGCATATATATCAGGGGGATCCAACACAGTCAGTGGAATCTGGGAGTGCTTCTCTGAGAAAGGCAAGTCTCTGAGTAAGAAGTAAGCTAAGATGATCTAAGATGATCTAAGATGTTCTAAGATGCTCTGTGATGTAAGCTAAGATGTTCTATGGCAGACACTACCTCCATTACGGGGGACTGGGAGCTCTTAAGTGTGAGGGGAGCTTTTTTCGTCTCGGCCGCCGACATGCCATCCAGACTAAGGAAGACCCGGAAACTTAGGGGCCACGTGAGCCATGGCCATGGCCGCATCGGCAAACAGCGGAAGCACCCGGGAGGCCGCGGTAATGCTGGTGGCATGCATCACCGCAGGATCAACTTCGACAAACATCACCCAGGATACTTTGGGAAAGTTGGTATGAGGCATTACCACTTAAAGGGGAACCAGAGCTTCTGCCCAACTGTCAACCTTGATAAATTGTGGACCTTGGTCAGTGAGCAGACACGGGTAAATGCTGCCAAGAACAAGAATGGAGCTGGCTCCTATCATTGACGTGGTGTGATCGGGTTACTACAAAGTTCTGGGGAAGGGAAAGCTCCCAAAGCAGCCTGTCATCGTGAAGGCCAAATTCTTCAGCAGAAGAGCTGAGGAGAAGATTAAGGGTGTCGGTGGGGCTTGTGTCCTGGTAGCTTGAAGCCACATGGTGGGAGATTCATTAAATGATAACAAGTGCTTTTCCAAAAAAAAAAAGAGTGAGGGGAAATACTGCAGGCTGCAACCACTATGGAAGTATATTAGATATACATACACAGTTCCAAACAACTTAAATATGCCAAGAAGCAGAAAAATCTTAAGGGCATAGTATTTTTTGAGATACCCAACTGAAAAATAGGTTATTTTTTTACAGCAAATATAATGAAAACCAAATTACACAAAATGAAATTTCAAAAATTATATAGGTATGTAAGGAATATGATCAATAGCTACAAAGCAAAGGTTAATTTTTAGTTTTCTGCTTGTTTTAAACCCTTTTTTCCTCAAATGACTCATGCATGATCACTACAGAAAAATTAAAATACACAGACTACAAATTTTTTTTAACTTTATCAATAATTCCACCAGTATCTCTACCAGTGGTTAAAGATAACCGCTGGTAATATTTAGGTATATAAACCCTGAAATGTTTTATCTATATAAAGTTTATTTGCGCGTGTGCGCACATGCGCACACACAGAAAAAGACTAGAAGGAGACAGAATCAAAATGTTCACAGTGCTTGGTCTGTTTTGTGAATGGTGACATTATGGTGATTTTCTGCCTTTCTCTATATTTTTCAATTTTTCACAATAAGCAAGTATCTTCATTATAAACAGAAGAGATTCCCCCCCCAAAGAAATCCAATGTAATAAAACATTTTGAATACATGATATATGGGATTATGTAAATATTAACAGAAAATACAATGGAAAGAAAATTTTAAAATAAGTAAAAAACATACAATACCACTTTTGTGGTTTAAAAAAAAACCTAAATATTACTTTTAAATAACACAAAATTTCTAAGCATTGTATTTTTTTAAAGACAGGTAACATTCTCAAATCCTCTACTGAATAAATTCTAATCAAACTCCAGCAAAATTATAGTAATACTTTAATTTTACTGTCACCTCATGGCACGATTATTTTGCCATCATAGAACTTTGAGCAACAAAACCAAAATACAATGCTTAAATATTTCAAGATAATATGCCCACCACTCACTGTGTCGCGACTATCCTCTCAAAAATTAGAGAAAACAGACTGAGGTGAGTTCTTAGAAAGAGGTGGCAGTGTGAGGCTCTGACCTGGTCCGACTGCATGCAGCTCTCTGTAGCTCCTGGATCAACTGGCCAGTACATTCTGGCTCTCTACTGGCCGCCTGCAGCAAAGCTTTCCTAAACGTGTGCCGGCATTTCTTTTGACGAGATTCTGCCCGCTCCAGGCGGCAGAGGTGCTTATATTTCTGCTGAAAGTAAGTGCAAAGTTGGGTCACCCTGGAGCTCCTACTCTCTGTATCATCATCCGACCTGGAGAGTGCAGGGAGAGAAGCAGAAAACTTGATTACACGTTAGGCTCATTTTAAAAAGGGGAAAAGCGGATGAGGAAGGGGGGCTGGATGCACAGCGCTGAAACTTGTGGCATGTGAGCACACATTTAGCAAAATTAGAGGAAGAGGATTTCAGTAGAGCTGCTGAAAATAAGTACAGTGTTTTTACAAAAAGTGAGCAGTAGAGACAATCCAATGCTCTAAGAAGCTTAACCTTCTTAGCGTGTCATGATTAGACACTCAATGCATCAGTGTCTTCCAAGTTTTAAGTGACTAGGGGTTTTGGGGAAGAAAATAATTTCTTTACCTCTACTTACTAAAAAGTCTGAGTAAATGACATGACGGTTATGAGGAAACACTCAGCATAATTGATAGGTCATACCAGAAGTAGAGCAGTGAATTCCAATGGAGCAGTGAATACTATCTAAGAGCTGCTCTTTCAGATGTACTGGTTTTTAACTACCCTTTTTTTTGCTAAGCACTTAAAAGAATTTTGATTATAGGGATCACAATCATTCTACAGTATTTTTTTAAACTACAGGAGATATCCTAAACAACATTTCATATAACAGGGAATTACATAGAGGCTTTTCTATCATTACGCTAATGTTGATTGATTTGTGGCCCCTGCTGGAGCACTACACTGAAAAGGATGCTGAGGGCACATTTAGGCTCAACAAGAAAGACAGCTGTGGTTAGTTAGCAATGTGTACCACCAGGGAGGTTAAAAAGGTCACCTTTCTATAGAATAAATGTGACCTCATTTTTTTTTACTGTTAGGAATAATGCACACAAGACTTGAAAACTGACCTGTGTTATTTTACCTTCCTTCTCTTATAAACAAACAGCACACATATGACACTACAGATGACATATTTATTATCTTACTAATATTCTGTAAATCCTTTCTTGGTTTCTCTTCTTGAGTGGTATTACCTCTTTTTTCTTCAGAATAGCCCGTAACAGGCTACTCTGTAAACTTCTGTTTGGTATATGTCTTAAGAGTCATGTTCTCTTCAGTATAGTTTCTACTACAGATATACCAATTGAAGGATCTCACTTCAACCTTTTCACCTATTAGACATTTACTCTATGTCTATCATGCTTTGTGAAAAAGCTAGGAGCTTTTTAAAATTTCAGTTTCCCAAGACCTACCCTACATCTACTGAACCAGAATTTCCATGGGATGGGATGCAGGAATCTCTATTTTAATTGTTCCCCAAAGTCCCACAGCAGGTCTCCATTTGGGAATTGTAGTAGAGCCAGTACATGCTGTTAGTATCTTTAATGTGAGGTAGAGAACAAGAAACATAGGAGAGGTACAGATAAAATGCTTTTAAAGTTCCCTAGAAAGACTGCTGGATGAAAGGCTTTTTGTAGAGGAGATGACAACAGAACTGAACCTTGAAAAAAGGGTAGAATTTGAAGATGAGCATAGAAAGGTACCTCACAAGGATAAAGCAATATAAGCCAGGATACAGAGATGGACAGGATGGGGAACAGCAAGGACTGAGTAGCTTGGTTTGGCTAAGGCGTGGGGAATGCAGGGGAGTGCTGGTGGGTTAGGTAGACTTTCTAAAGCTAAAGGCCAGATTAAAGAGTTCAACCTTTATTCCATAGGCAATGAAGAACCTTGTAGATTATTAAGAAAACAGCTAACAATAACAGAGCTATGCATGAGAAAGATTACACTGTCAGCAGATATAAATGGAGGAAGAGACAGAAGAAGAGAACAGTGAGGAAATTATGATAAAACTCCAGGTAAGAAATAACAAGGACCCTACACCAGGGGGGCAGCAGCAGGACTAGAGAATATGAGACGTAATCTGCATGTATAAGAGACTCTGGGGACTTCCCTGGTGGACCAGTGGTTAAGAATCTACCTTCCAATGCAGGGGACGTGGGTTCGATCCCTGGTCGGGGAACTAAGATCTCAGATGCTGTGGGGCAACTAAGCCCGTGCACCACAACTACTAAGCTAGCGTGTTCTGGACCCCGCACGGTGCAACTAGAGAAGCCCACGCACTACAACAAAAGATCCCATGTGCTGCAACGAAGATCCCATGTGCCACAATGAAGACCCGAAGCAACCAAATAATTAAAAAAAGAAAAAAGAGAGAGACAAGACTTTGTCAGCTGGGCAAGGAAGATGGAAGGGACAATAATCACCCAGCTGTTTCCACTGGCAAAGAGCAGGAAACAGGAGCAAGAGCAGATCTGGGGTAGGAAATAAATTCCATTTTAGACCTAGGTAATTTAAAGTGCAGATGAGGGGCTTCCCTGGTGGCACAGAGGTTAAGAATCCGCCTTCCAATGCAGGGGACACGGGTTCGAGCCCTGGTCCGGGAAGATCCCACATGCCGCAGAGCAGCTAAGCCCGTGCACCACAACTACTGAGCCTGCACTCTAGAGCCCGCAAGCCACAACTACTAAGCCCGCGTGCCACAACTACTTAGCTCACACGCCTAGAGCCCGTGCTCCGCAACAAGAGAAGCCACTGCAATGAGAAACCCGTGCACCGCGACGAAGAGTAGCCCGCACTTGCTGCAACTAGAGAAAGCCCGGGCAGAGCAACGAAGACCCAACTCAGCCATAAATAAATAAATAAATTTATTTTTTAAAAAAAGTACAGATGAGGCAACATAGGGAGTGGTGGAAAGACAGTTGAAAATTATAAACTTGGGCACGTTTAGAGAAGAGATACAGATTTCGGAGTCAACGGCTAACAACTGGGAGTGACTAAAAGTAAAAGGCCACAGAGATAATAGAAAGAACACAACACATAAGGGCCATTATCACAAAAGAATTTGGTGACTGGGTATGAAGGATAAGAAAGTCAATAATGACTTTGAATCTGTATAACTGAGAGAATGGAAGCGCCATAACAGAAAGATGAAAGAAGAGAAGCAGTAAGTCTTAAAGGGAAAGTAAAGCTAGGGTGGAAAATCAACTGCCAACATTGTTATTTAAAAAGACTCTTATTACTGCAGAGAAAATGGACTAGATGAGTGTTTCTCAAGTTAACCATGTACATCATGATTAAAGTTTTCAAAGCTTATTCATAACTTCCAAAATTATCTTGCTGTGGTCCAGTAACAAGCAGTTTGCAGACTAGCACAGATCCACAGACCATCCTTGGCACTGTCCTAAACTAGAAAATCTTCAAGATGCCTCCCACTTCTAAGATGCTAGACATTAATATTTCAAATCTGGTTGCTGAGGAAGAGTAGCAAACTGGGAAGAGAAAGGCCAGTTCCCATAATATACCAGCAGTGACAAGGGCTGGTACCTACAGCATTTCTCAGTATGTGTTAAGTTTCCTTCTTTCTTTAACTTTTCTCATCTGGGTGAAATGGAGACACAGCTGGCTCACCTAACTCCCATGGTCAAGAGAAAGAAATGATACACGTGAAATCACAATATAAGTACAGGTGTTATTATTAAGATGCTACTAATAGCTCCAAATAAATACAGAGCAGTAAATTCCAAACCTGATTTCGTAAAACTTCAGGCTTGTCTGTAATCTCAAGGCATGACGTGAAATTTTCCAAATAAAAGTCACTTTATCTTATTTTATTAAAACAATAAAAGAGCGAAAACTTCCCACAAAGAAAAGATTCATGACCAGATGGCTTCACTGGTGACTTACACAAAATGTTTAAAGAATTAGGGGACTTCCCTGGTGGTCCAGTGGTTAAGACTCTGAGCTTCCACTGCAGGGGGCATGGGTTCAATCCCTGGTCGGGGAGCTAAGATCCCACATGCCACGCGTATAGATAAATAAATATTAAGAAAAGAAGGCATAGTCAGAGCTGAGGAAAAAAAATAAGGCATAGACAGTTACACCTCAATAAAAAATAAATTTTTTTAAGTGACAGCAAAATAAAAACTTTTTCAGACTTTCAAAAGCTGAAAGAATTTATCACTGGAACACCTGCACTACAAGATATATTAAAGGAAACCTCTCATACAGAAGAAAATGACATCAGGCGGCAATCTGGAACTACTCAAAGAATGAAGAGCTCTCTAGAAATTGTAAAAACGTGGGGGATTATAACATGGGTAGAAGGAAAATGTACGACAACTATAGCACAAAGGATGGGAAAGGAGAAATGGAAGTACACTGTCATACGGTTCTTATACATGAAGGGGTATAACACTTAAAGATACACTAAGGCAATTAAGTATGTATACTGTAAACCCTAAAGCAACCACTATAAAAAGAAAACAGAGAAATGCAGCTAATAAGCCAAGAAAGGAGATAAAATGAAATCATAAAAGATAATCAAAAAAGAAAAACAGGGGAAAAAGGACAAGAACAAATAGGACAAATAGAAAACAAATAAAAGATGTTAGACTTAAATCCAATAGTATCAATAATCACATTAAATTTAAATGGTCTAAATACCCCAAATAAAAAGCAGAGATTGTCAGAGTACATAAAAAAGTAAGACCTAATTATATGTGGCCAACAAGAAACCCACTTCAAATATAAAGACTAAAATAGGTTAAAAGTAAAAGGACTGGGGCTTCCCTGGTGGCGCAGTGGTTGAGAGTCCACCTGCCAATGCAGGGGACATGGGTTCGTGCCCCGGTCCGGGAAGATCCCACATGCCGTGGAGCGGCTGGGCCCGTGAGCCATGGCCGCTAAGCCTGCGCGTCTGGAGCCTGTGCTCCACAACGGGAGAGGCCACAGCCACAACAGTGAGAGGCCCGCATACCGCCAAAAAAAAAAAAAAAAAAAGTAAAAGGACTGAAAAAGATACCAAGTTAGCAGTAACCAAAAGAAAGCTGGAGTGGCTATACTAATATCACATAAAGTAAGATCTCAGAGCAAACACTATGACTGGGATAAAGAGCGTCATTTTATAAAAATAAAAGGATCACTTCATCAAGAGAACAGAACAATCTTAAATGTTTATGTATCAAATAACAGAACTACAAAATGGGTGAAGTAGAAAGTGAAAGAACTCATACAAA